AATTTGGCATTAACAAATCAATTTTACTTTTACTCAATTTTCGTGGTTTTTCTAGCACTATTCTCATCATTTGATGATAATTTATTATTCAAAAGTCCCTTTTTTTCCCACCTGTACCTATTTTGTTTGTCAACATCATTTTTATAGAGTTTCTCTTCAAATCCATTTTGACCGGAAAACACGGCAATAGGGCAGCACTTAAGGCGCTTGGATCGCGTTCTAACATCATTTCGTGAACAAAAATTATAATCTTTAATGTATATGTTAATAATAGCCACTACTGTTATCACCGTCCTCTAATAATCACGCTACTGGTTCTTTTTTTACTGTTCTACCGTTTAAAATACCGTTTGATTTCGATAATAATATTATTTCATTGAAAATCGTGTGATGAGTTTTTGACCGTATATCGGATTAAAAATCACGGACAGGTATATCATTTTCACTTCAAAGGAAAGTTAAACGCCTATACGCAATTGTTTTAGCGTTTGTCGAAAATCGGTACGACGATTTTCCAATCGGATTTATGTTTCTGATGACGTTATTTATACCGCGTTTGGTAATATGTGCGTATTATTTTTTTTTTTTCCCGCCGATTTGGAATCTAGTCAAAACCGTTATGATCCGGCAGAAAAAAGCAACCGGCGAAACCTAGAATTTTACCGGTTTTTTTTTTCTTCTTTATAGTTTCCCCATTAGCAAATTAGTCTCTAATTTATTAAGAATGTATACGCGGGCGGCCGAAGCAAGACGCGCCCCGCCGCAACGCGCTACGCGTGGCCGAGTTATAATAATGTATTTTCATTTGGAACGGTCCCAGGGGAACCCGAAACTTTGGTCCGAGCGCCGCTTAGCCTTTCGCCGTGTTTTTTTTTCTTCTCTCGGCGATATTCCGCCGCGCTCCCGCCGGGACTACCGCAGTACGGTAAGTTGTGTTGACTCGTTTTTGCGCCCCGGAATTAATATCGCGCGCGCACACCTCTTCGCGCGCCGACCGCCCGCCAGACCGACCGCCCGCAGCCACCGGTCTCGAATTTCAATTCCGAATCGTAGGAGGTCATCTTGCCCCCCCCCCCACCACCACCACCACTCGCCCACCACCCACTTCGATAACGTCGCAGCATCAGACACGCACACACACGCACACATATATATGTATATATGTTATGTTGGTGGCGGCAAGAAACTAATTCATTTAAGGGACGACGTTTTAGCGGCGGCGGCGGCGGCGGCGGTGTAGCAGCAACAGCGGGCCAGAGGCGGCGGCGGTGTTTCGCTCGTCGTCTCGGGCGCGTGTGAGAAACGTGACGGGAATGCTTGTAAATCATCGTGTAAAAGGTCACCTCCGTTATGGCGCGGCCGCGGCGCCGAGGGGGGTTGTGAATAGTTATGACCGCCGGACCCCGCGCGCGTTATCTGGGCCGAAGGCATTGATCATGTTTGCGGCGAATCCAATTAAAGATATGGAACAAGAAATCACGCGACTACTACTACGACGACGACGACGACGACGACCGCGACCGCGCGCCGTTTGTTGTTGCCGGTTCCGAAATTATACGGGGTCGTTTTAATGCGCGCGCGCGCGTGTATAATAATAATAATAATAATAATACACGTATACACGCGTATTATATTATTATATTAATCGGGTCCAAGTCTCTCTCACCCCTTTGCCCGTGTCGCGGAGCCGTTAAATCATTCGTAACGCGGCGATTCCGAACTACACGCCGTACGCCCGCGCGCGGTGTGTTAGGCGGGGGGAGGGGGGGGGGGCTCGAGCGCCGGACGAAACGCACCAGTGAAAAAAAAAAATAAACGCACCGAACCTCGGCGTTTGATTTATCGCGCGTCCCGTTTCTGGTTTCGAAGCCGTGCGGGCCTTGCCGCGGCCGCGTGTTTGTGATTGTAATAATAATTTTCGTTTCGGGTCGTGTAAATTTCGCCGTGTGCCGTATAGGTACGTATTATTATTGTTATTATTATTATTATTATTATAAGGTATCCTGCTGCAGTACACGATAATTATTATTACAGCGCCGGACGATTAAACGCAGTCGTCCCGGCGGCAGCGGTCTTTTTTCCCTCGTCTCTTCTCGAAAAATACGTATTTGAATTTGAATTTTTTTTTTTTTTTTCTGAACATTCAAACCGTTGCCGCAGCCAAACATATTGTATACGTATACCGGTGCGCATTATCTGTTACCCGGCCGTTTTTCTCCCGACAATCCGAATACTGTAATCATTTCTGTGTAACGCTTCTTCTTCTTCTTCTCCTTCACGGTTGCTTCCGGAATACCCCGGAATAGTCGAGGAATTTGTACGAAATTCGGAAATTTTCAAATTAATTAACTTATTTTTTAAATTTTGTTTTTCTAATATTGAAATAGCTACTATTGTTAACTGTTTCACGGTTTTACAAATATGTTAACGCGGTAAACCGTCCCGGAAAAATCGTGGTAATTCAAAATGGTATTTCGTGACAACCGTGTTATTCTGCCGTACGGTCAACAATCTCTTCATACCGGAATTTTCCTCCGCTTTTTGACACTGCCTAGTTTAGCGTCGCTTGGTCCGCAATTCTGCGAGGTGTCAGAGAACACTGCAGGATATGGTCGTCCGTCTGCATGTATTTGTTCACGGCCGTATATTTGGTCATTTTACTACAAGACACCACATTTCATTAAATTCCGTTTTTTCCTCGGTACATTCGCTTTTTTTCTATTTAACGTTATTCATAGTTAATACAGTAGGAGGGGAGGGAGTTATACCCTTTTGGAGGTATTTTCAATTCGTGAAGCTCCGGAGAAGAGAGTACTGCCGCATCAACAGATCAGTGGTTCAGAACCGTTCAGAAACTTTTTCTGAAACTTAGACGTTCCTATCTACAGGATGTCCCACGAAGATATACCTAGTTGATGTCTTATATAGTAGGTAGCAAAAGCAGCAAAGACGACTACTTACTTTTGATTATCGTATGATAACTTGCATTATGAATTGTGGAATTATGTGAAATAAAGTTTGCATTAATTTCAGTGTTCGACATTTTTGACTTTTGTCAACCAAGTTAACACTTTGAGAGATATATCCCCGAAACTATATGGCAATGGGTGATATATGAGTGAGGTACCTTATTATGCTCCAGTATTCTGAGGACTGCAAAATACATACTCTTAACGCAATCTCCCCGTCGCGGTCTGCTTTTGTCATTAGGATTTTCTAACAGCATTTTTTTATTTGTTTTTATTTCGTCTGTCAACAAAACGAGACCGTACTTTTCCATGATAACGTTGTTATTTCGATATCAACGGATCCGTTGTTCGGTATGTATAGGAAAAATTAATAATGCCGTTTAATTCCAAAAGAGAATAACGGGGCGTACTTGCGGAAAAGGGTTGATATAATATCATCCGCCCTTTTGCAAATATATATAGTTAAATGTACCGTGTTTTGTTGGTGGTCAGCGAATCGCTGCAGATAACCCCGTACAGTAACCGTTTCGGTTCATTTGATACGCGGCCGTTCGAAAGGAATCTACTGTAGCAGGAAAATAGAAACGGACCCTCGCGCTATTTTTTTGCGCCCCCTCCTTCCCCAACGCAGGGGAAGATGATGTAAAACAAACGTAACGCCGAAAAATCAATTTGGGTTTCTTGACTTACGGCACATTTTCTTTTTTCTTTTTTTTCGTCTCCGGTCCTATATAAAAAGACCATCAGTTTAATAGTCGCTCAATATGTTTAACGACCGGTCGGAAAATCCGGGAAACCTCTTTTACCCATCACTCCCCTCACCACCGCCAAAAAAGGTCGTTAAGTATCGGTTTTTTTTTTGTTCAGACAAACCTTTTTTCTCCCCTGGACACACGAGCAGGTTGAAACGATGTCCCGACGCGTGGTTTAATAAATGACAAGGCATTTGTCGCGCTTTTATCCCTCTCCGCGCGCCGCTGTAAAAGGGATAGCAGCTCATCTTGGGACGAGACCCAAAGATAATTTGAATCGCCCTAACGGGGGAGAGAGAAAAAAAAAATACTAATGACGCGTTTTTAAAGATTAATATATGAAAAAATATATGTAGAATTTAATTTTAATTTTAATTTTATTTTTTTTTGTCAAGGGTGATGTGTAGAGTCTACCATTAATAACCTTACTCGTTACCTTGTTAAATGAAAAATTAAACGTTTTGTTGTATTATACTATATTATATAGCGATCTGTGAACCGTGTCGCAAACGAAGATTGGATGAAGAGAAACGGGAACAGCTGAAGTATAGCAAAGCGAAGATTTTCGTTAAAGTCATCGAAAAGGAAGGACGCGAGAACAATTTCAAGTATAACGCGGTCGACGACAAGGTATATAAATAGAATTATTTATAATATTATTATTATTTTGACAGATTGTTGAATTTTTTTTACCGTTCCGTTTTAAAACTATACGTCGTTAAAACAATTTTTATTTAGAAACGGCTATCCCACCGTTAGTCGCTATTGTCGTTGAAAAATGATTATCATTTTATAAAGAGAGTCGATACTTTTATTTGATATTTTATTTCTCAAGACAGGTATTGAAAGTATATTTTGTATTTTGGTATTTTCGCGATACTTTAAATAACGTTTTTTTGTCGGATACGTTTAAACTCTATTGATCTAGACGAATAATCAAAAACTATGCGCTGTCTACTTCTTTCGTCTTACAGACGTACGGCGTAGACAATTTGCGTTCAACAGGCACAACATTGTGCCGTTGGTTTCCAATATTATAGAGTGTTACTCAACCTATTTTCAAACTTTAAGTTAGGAACATTGTCTGTGCAACGTTGGCACTTAGAATTTTTTCTAGTGAGGTACAAGTATTATCCAATGCGATTAAAATTAAATTACCAAATTAAATCGGCGGTAACGATATCGAAGATTTTCGGCAGCGGTGACTCGGTTGATCAAATATACATTTACTAATACATCAATGTGTGTGTGTGTGAACAGAACGAAACAGTAATGTTAAAAATAAAATACAACCAAACCACTGTGGTTGTTCTTTTTTTTTTTTTTTTTTTTTTTTTTTTTTTGCGTACGTCTCTTTCGAACGAGAAGAAAACCTTCGCGATTTTTTACGATCGCCGCCGTCGCCCGAAGACGCAATAAAAAAAAAAAAAAAAAAAAAAAAAAAAAACTTACGATAATATCATATAACTGCACAATAATGAGACTCGACTGTCCCGGGGCGGACCGGGGGACCCGTGATCGTATTCCGGTAATAAATAAATGGCCGTTGCCGTGTTACGACGCTTTGCCGACGACCTAAAGTACCTATAAGTACGAGAATATAACCACCTGACCGGAGCGAATCGTTAAACTTCCTGCTGTACCATCGCCGAAGACGACCGCGACCGCGGTATAATTTCGAACTGTCTATAATTACCCGAACTTGTACCGAACGTCAACGGGTTGGCAATAAAATCGGACGTAAAAAACGTATAAAATAGTATCGGCCGGGCGCCGCCTCGAATACAATAAAATTCGGTATACCTGCAGCCCACTCTTCGGAGCAAATACGGAGTCAAAATAATTATTACTGTTGAGGTTTTTTTTTTCTACATATATATATATAATTTCCGACTTTGCCGCCTACGCCACATCGGGTACAACCGATTTAAAACGAAACCGTTTAACACTACACGTTTTATATTCGTACTGAAAAACTGATGAACTTTAGAACGTCTCGTTAAGGAGATTGCACTTGCCATGAAATTTTCGTTAAAAAGACCTAAACGGGATGGGTACTTTATGTGGTTCGGTTGTAAAAACGTTGAAGCATGTCGACAAATATATACAAATTTCAAACTTTTGTTTGGATTACTCTTGTAATTCACATTTGATAAAATTGAAGAAGCGTTCCGATCGATGCAAAGTAAACGTTTTGTTTATGGATTCGAACTTATTTCATTTTTAAAATCGAACTAGTACGAGTAAAACTACTACCAAGGTTTCTGGGCGTATAAACTTTACGTTAAAAACGGGGTACTTCTATTCCTTAAATGGTAGTAGATTAGTGGAAAAGACGTATCATTAAAAGATAAATACATTTTTTTTCGAATAATTTTTTTGAAAATTGTCTACAATTTCCTTTAGATGTGTTCTTTTCTTCTTGAAAAACATTTTTCCAATTGGTAAAAAAGTTCCGATTTTTCATTCCATACATTAAATGATACAAATATTACAAATCATACAATTATACAAATATATTTGATTTGAAAGAGGATAATGACTGAAATTCGAAAAAGTAACCTGGCTGCACAAACCCGGATAAACAGCAAATTGGTCTAAATTTGCTATGCCTCAAAATATCTATGAATATGCGTTTGATACAGGAAGATAAAGAATCGATTTTACTATAATGTATGTGCGCTGTTCGTTTTTTTTTTTTTTTTTTTTTTTTGTGTCTGTTGGCAACTTTCCTACCAGAAATCTTGTTCGTATCGAAAAATCACAATAATTCTTTTTCTTTGCATTGTTATTATTTTTATTTCCCAAACAGTTTTCAATTTTATTTTCCTACCAAAAATCTTAAACCGAAATTCAAGTTTAGCGTATCTTTTACGAAAGAGATGTTTGTCTAGTCGGTGTATTAGAAAGTTGTTTTTTGATTTTCCCATTAGGTCCCCGAATAATAGGGGAAAACCGGCGGAAAACTTATAGGAAACACGAAAACCGTAAAAATCACGGCTGTTCAAAACACGTTGAATTTCGAACTTCGCCGCTCGGAATCGGGGGGTTTTTTTTTTCGCTACGCTCCGTCGTGTAATGTCGGCCGTCGGTATTTACATAATTCCGTAATGAATAGTTACGTTCACACCGGGAGTCGGACGGTTTGCGTTCGCGGGTGCGTTAAAATATCACTCCGCCCATATTTATCCGATGTAATAACCGATTATTTATAGGTAGGAGTTTATTTTTTCTTTTTTTTTCCAAACCAAAGACCAGTTTGCCGCCTCGCTGTCACGACGATAAAATAAAATATATCGGCACGGATTCTCCCCTCCCCTCCACACCCCATCCACCCCTCCTCCCGATCATAAAGTTCACGAAAACGAATACTGCCGAAACGTGGTAATTACATGGTATAACCGTGTTTTTTAATCGCCGGTCCCGGACGCGGGAAATAATCGCGTTCGAACGCGTATATTATTGTCGACGACGGGTCGCAGCTCGGGGCTGTTATAATTATACAAATACGCTTTCCGAGGTGGACGTATAGTTTTGTTTTTTTTTTTTTTTAATAATTTATCGGGTGTGTTATACGGCGACGAGAACGTGACTTTTTTTTCCCTCCGTTCTCGCCGCGGCGTCTTGGCGTATAACGTTTTTTTTTTTTCTGTTTTTTTCCGCGTTCGTCGTCGACGGGGAAAACGGAAGCGGGTAAATTTTTTTTGGATTTCATTTTTTTTTCTAGTCTAGAAAAATTAGTAAACATATTACGCAATGTTTTTGTGTACGCGGCTATGTGTAACTCGGCGGTGGGTGTGCAAACACGACGACGTTCGCGTTATGGGGATCGCATACACCACGCGCGGTTAAGGCGCACTACGTATTTTTATGAACCACGGAAACGGTAGAATATTAAACGATTTTTCGTCAGCATCGCGGAGCCCGTGAAAAATTTAGAAAAATTTGTTATTTACACAGCTTATAAAAAAAAAAAAACCCGAATAATCCCTATTTTATGCGTAGGAATGTTCTTACGTCATTTTGACCAACATAATATCGAACGCGTTATTTCGACGCGCATTTTAAGATAAGTCGTGATTTTCCTTTTTTTTTTCGCAGATTTTAAGTCACGTAGCATACCGCAGTCTCTTCAAAACTATAATAATTCACATTTCGAATGTTCCGCGCAAAGAAACGTTAGTCGATTTGACTCGAGTGTCCTGAATCTAGTGTCATTAGAGTTAGGTCGCTGACAAATTATTTAAATCGATGTACACTGCAATAAGACCGTGAGCAACTTTTCAAAGAAACAAATTTTGCTCCGATTTACAAGCAATTTTTTCTGAAACCGAATTGTATTTATAGTTAGTACATAGGAAAAGTCATTTTGTTTTTTTTTTTTAACACATTTTCTTTATAGTTTTTATAATAATCGGGAAAATCCGGGGGAAATTTACAGAAAAATCCGTTTTATTAGTTTGGGGGGTTGGGGGTGGGAGGTTGTCATAGTTCGGTTAAAAATAATCGTATAAACCTGACGTGTTCACAGAATACTCATTTTCCGTGACCCGGACTCGTCAAAAACCAACCGCGAACATCACACAAATCACGATAATTGTACGACGATGAAGTGTCCCAGTTCTTTCAATTGAACATTTTTTTTGTAAAAATATAAATTATTTTTCTCGAGAGCACGTTTAGTTTGTATGTACTAATGATGTGTTTAGTGACGTAGCCAGGTTTTCTCAATGAGGAGGGGGGGGAGGGTAACTCACAAACCTACGTTTGCCCGTAAACTACGTTAATTTCCTTAATTAGGTAGGTACATTTAAAAATACCCCCGGTTATGAAATCAATGAAACAAGAAAATAAAATATACACTACCATAGTATTATAAACACGAAACGATTGTAGTACAAATATTAAAAAAAAAAAAAAAAATAATAAACACGGCGAATAAATTGTAGGGGGGGCACGAGGATCATGCCCCCCCTTGGCTACGCCACTCAATGTTGCGTGTGTTATTCGAAAAGTAAACATATACGTCGAAACGAAAAAAAAAATTAACCAAACGGTTCCCATTATTTTCTGACTACCTATTGCCATGCCCGGGGTTTTTTTTTTTTCTTTGATTTATTATCAATAATATTAATTATTACGAGTGTTGGTTCGGTGTAGATCTCGTTTTGAGATACATAATATTATATAGTTATAACGCGATACGCGCACGTTTGACGTTGTTTCGGTGTACCCAATAATAATAATAATATTTTAGGACGCCCGACCGTCAAAATTCAAAAAATTATATTCCCTCGAAAATACTATTTACGATTATCGAAAAACGATAAATTTGACGGTGTTTCGAATTTGTAAAGATCGACGATAAATTGTTGTTTAGGTACTCAAAATCGTATTTATTATTATTATTATTTTTTTTCCCCTATCATAACGAAACCCTTTGAAAAAATGTGGAACCACCACTTTGTTTAGAATTTATAATTGTTATAAACTATAAAACCGTCGTGGCCGAGATAGTCATCTCATCCTCTAACAATTTGACCACTATAAACTAAAAAAATAACGGAATGCGTGTTCCTAAACTACGGCGCATAATTTATTTCGAGTTCACGGCGGCGTTCGAGAATTCGCCGGATATTTTTGTAGATTTGACGAAATATGGCCATTGCATGTGGTGTACATAGAATATCACGTGCGGTGAACAAAAAGACGGGTGTAGCAACAACAAACGTCTTTGGCGAACGACTGTAGAAGACACTGTATGACCGTAAAATAAATTTACTGACCGCGGTTGTTTCGATATAGTTGATTATTAGACGAGAGAGGAGTTGGCGGGCGGTTCGGACGCTGTATGAGAAAAGACGAGTCGGCGCGAGAGTATGCTGTTATACAAACGGGTTAGGGTAAGAGGAACATACCGAAAAGGATACTTAAAGGGTCCTATAAACGGTTCAGTTGTGCATAACAATCATGATTGTCAGTTGTTTTTGACTGTCACTTTTTACCAATGTCAAGTTTGACATACATGGTCAATCATTTGATTCATTTCAAAACAAATTTTGCCATCAATAAATCCATCATAACCCATGCCCTGTTATGTATCCAAATTTTCGAAATTGCATACAAACGGAAGATGCTTGCATAGTAAATTATATTAGAATTGTTGAAGTATGTTAATACTTAAAACAGCATTATGCGTAGTTAAAATAAATTTACCTAATTGTTTATTCTAATGATTATCAATAACAAAAATATTATTATAAATAACTATTAGATATTAGTTACGAAATAAAAAACTGTTTATTTGAAAGAGACGAAAATGGTTAAAAAGCGCGTGAGTACTACAGGTTTGATAACACAAAATCAAGCGTGTTTGAAATTCATCGACATGGAAAGTCAATCACTAGTGACAATAACAAAAACTGGCATTCATAACTGACCGTGTATGGGGCCCCA